GAAGGAGGACACGGATGCTACTTCCGGGGGTGTCGTCCAGGCAATCGGCCCCCAAGGAACCATACCCAACAGCATCGATTCCATGGCTCAAAATCCAGATTGGTACAACTATCAGGTGAAGCAGCAGCAGCTCATGCACCAAGCTGCCGATTTCTCGAAAAGGCCGAACTTGATCGTCCCTGCGGGGCATCCCGGCGCGTTTTTCGATGCTCCATACGATGCCGTGCCCAGCAGCCTGGCTCTCTCCCCCGGGATGGCGACTCCGGAGGCTCCCGGCAAGAAGAGGAGCTTGGATCTCGTCGTGGAGAAGACTGTGGAGAGGCGGCAGAGGAGGATGATCAAGAACAGGGAGTCGGCGGCGCGGTCACGAGCGAGGAAGCAAGTAAGTCGCACTTTTGACCAAAGAGGCTTTTTTTCTACTCTTTTTTCCTTGTTTTTTTTGCAGGCTTACACAGTGGAGCTAGAAGCCGAGCTTACGCAGCTCAAGGAAGAAAATACCAGATTGAAGAGATGGCAGGTAAGATTGGATCACTCGTGATCGATCCAGACACTAAAGACGATGATGCTTTTCTTTTGATTTTTTAGGCCGAGGAAGCAGAGAGGAGAAGAAAACAGGTAACTTGCATTGCTGGAGAGAGTTTTACAGCTTTGTTACACCGTGTTTCTGACGCAGATAACCGAGGTTTTCCTGCCAGTAACGCAACAAGATCAGCAGCAGCACGCAAACGCGAGCTCACAAAAGCTTCAGAGGTGCCGGAGCTTTCCCTGACTTCCATTTAACTCCACAGGAATCGGGTTGTAAAGTGGGGGTCTCGCTCGCTCCTCAAGCCATCGCAAAGATCTTCCCTTGATCTTCCGGGCCTGAGGAAGGAGAGCGAGATCGATCACCACTAAAAACACAGGAAAACGAATAAGGTAAGCAGCAGATCATCCAGCAGCAGCAGCAGTAGCAGCTCTCATGTACCTCATCAGACACGGCGGCCATGTACATTCGAGTTGGAAGTGCGTGTATCTAAAACAGAAGCAAGGCAAAAGCAGCGGTTTTCCTTTAGGTGGTTTGTTCGTTCCGAGAGGTTAGTGACGAAGCTGGTTCTTCTAGCATTTGTGAGGATCTGTAGTTTAAAGGAAGCAAGCATTTGTGAAATCAGACGGAAAAAAAACAAGTGAAATTCTTTTCCAGCTTATCTCTCGATCGATCGCGAAGCGTTTTGTTTCACGTGAAGAAGAAGGAAGTGGTCCAGCCCAGTCCAGTCCGGCTCTCAATTAAAAGAGAGCTGTGCTTTTGTCTCGCGCGCTCGCAGCGCCGTCGTTGGCCATTTCCACAGGCCAATCATCAGGCGCTGCAAAATGGTGCCAGCTGAATCCATCGAGCTTTCCGTTGCGAGTTTGGTGTTTTGGTTCCATGTCGACTCAGGGGCTCCATGTGTCCCGCCTCGGACGGGCCGGATGATCTGAGCTCTCCGGACGCAAGCGGCTTTTAGCGTGTCTGGATTGGATAAGTTTCTCGAGCAAAGCCATCGTAAAATTTACCTGGAGCTTTCCTCCCACCGCATAGGCACTCGGGGACTTCGCTCTCGCCGGGCGAGAGAGTTTAGTAGCTTGGCTTTTGTTTACCTTGTCCAATATTTCTGCCACCATGTTTTGCATGACAGTCAAGGTTCTTCTCATGCCGTGAGCCGACTTCAGAGAAGGTCTCCTCTTCAAACAGCTGCCTGACGATCTCCACTACGTCGTCCAGATCTTGGAGAGAGCACCTTCAGCTTACAATGAATAAACGATTACCGGTGACAGTGAGTAAAACAAGAAAACAAGCATGCCACTATTGGCTTCTCGCCCAACCGCGAGTTTGGCTGCTGGATTGTCTGCATCTAGATGATCGTTAAGCGCGTAGATTTTTCAATCTAACGAGTGAATTCGAGCGTTGAGCAGACTTGAGACCTCAAACGTTCGCATTCTCCCTCCGCTTTGAGCAGTGACTGCTCTAGATCATATCTTGATCTCTCAGTGTTGACCCTGGGTTTGTTTTTTATTTCCTTGGCCCTGTCTTCGCATTCATAAAGGGAAAGCTTTCTACCGACTAAATCTACTTCTCGAGATGTAAAGCCATGGGAGGCAGCAGCACTAAAGGTTTGTGTCCAAAGCGTAGCGTAGAGAGCGTTCCGGCTGCATTATATGAGCCCGAAGAGCAGCAATAAAGTAGATATTGTCCGTGAGTTTCCACCCTGTGCGGCATAAGATCAAAAGGACATGAAATTACTGTTAACGCTCGAGAGTTACCAAGGACTCTTGCAAAATCCTCGTCAGCTTTGAGTCATGGTAAGGTAGAGGGAGCCAAGTCAACGGGGAGTAAGGGGAGCCAAAACAGTTGACTAAAGAATATTCTGTTACAATAACCAAAGCATTCATCACATTTCCAAGAGCTGAAAGCGATTTATTGATTGTCTTAGCCTCCGTTAGGAGTTTTCCTTTCCTTCGGTGCATGTTTTCTCAGATCCAGCAAGGTCTACCAGGAACAGCTTTCCGGTTTTCACGCTGCAAAGAGACGATGATAAATAAGAGACGAAAAGAAGGGAACGTTTCTTTTACCTCGGTTATCAAGAACACACAGTGGCTTCTGCTGCTATTGGCGTTCATATCTGAAATGTTAGGAGACACACGCAGCAAGTCTTGTTAAGCCTCGCTCCCACAGCTCTATTCAAGATTCCTGCCTGTGTACTGTGTATAAGCTTTAAGTTAGAATGGCCAAAGCAGCAATCAATCAATTGTTAGATTGTCACTATAAGCTATCAGCCCTCGAGTTAATCTAGGACGGGCGCTCTCGTCACCTCTGAAGCACCAGCGACAAATATTCCGAGTGTTTTATCTTCCTTTACTTGAAGATTGTCCTTGGTCGAGTCCAAAATGTATTAAAGTCTCGAGCAACTTCTATTCTCTCCACCTATTCACAAGCGATATAAGAAATATAAAACCTTACCATGGACAGCTTGATGACAAACTCGTACACCGGGTCAGCAGTCTCTATGTACTGGAAAATCCATCGTGCCACCCTCGGTAGAATTCCCTCTTGGCAATGATCATCAGTGCCCTGAGACGTCTCTCCACGAAATGACCCGTAAGAACAAAGGAGAAAACGCTACCTCCATACTGAAAGTCATTGCAGCACCAGTCTAGAAAATAAAACAAAGCGTTGTGATACATGGATAGCTCTCATCGCATGAATGATTCGTGAGAGTACCTGTCAACCGTAAAGTTGATGGGATTCATAGCATCTTTGTTTACAATTCCATGAGTAAATCTCAGACATTCGATCAAAACTTACCCTGAACAATGGGAAGCGCGACGAAGTCGAAAACATCCGCTTGAGATCTCTGTCTAAAGAAAACCGATCTCTCCTGAATGAAAGCGCGACTGTAAATCGTCCAATGCAGCTGGCGCTTACCTTGAAATCGAAGGATCGATCGTGCGGGATGCGAATGCGGCTGGATTCGCTCCAGCGCTCGCGATCTCTCAGACATTGCACGAATAAACGAAACGAAGCAAAAGAACCATTAGAACAAGACCCCGCCCAACCACGGAAGTGAAGACGCCATTGGAGGCGATGGAAGATGACAGCGACGCAAAAAATGCGTCTCATGCTTCAGGATTGGCATTCAAAACAGCATATAGATAAATAGTTCATTATTGGTAGCAGTTAGACTTGTATTCTCTGGAGCGCTGCAAGCTTCAAAATCTTTATTACATAGTTTGGCATAGCATCATAGTTTGGCAACTCCTTAAATGATGCTAAACGCCCCCATGGGCGTGATCCGAACAGAACCGGATGGGCACGTCGAATAGATGACACCGATGCCTTTCATATATGATCTGGTACTTGCATATCCAAAGAACGAGACTATGTTGCCTGGTGCCGTTTCGAAGAAAGTGCCGCTCTTCGAATCACCAAATGGACCATATGTTTTGGTTACACCAGTTTTCATGTTCTTGACATGCACGGTCAGCGAAACAACACCTTCTCCCGCCCCACCAGCACCGCAGGTTTTGTCTGTTCCAGTTGTACCTGATAACTTGTAAATGTACTCGTCCGAGCTCACAGAGATCTGCAAGAAAGAAATTGATAATGTAAGAAAAACGTTAGCTTAAAACAGACCTCGTAGAGTGTGCCTCTCAGACCAGCTTGCGGAGGCGGCTTTGGTAAGCATCCTGAACAGGAGTTCGTTCCATACATTTGAGTCCAAGAAGAACCCGAAGGCTTCCACTGAATGGCATCAACCACACAACCGCTGATTATGCGTAGCCCCTCCAGTGGCGTACTCGTAAGACTTCCACTGAAGGGAGTACCACCACTAGTAGTACCATATAAAGGAGACTTGCAAGGTGGAGGCGGTGGAGGCGGCGACGAACACCATGGGACTTCGTTGCCACAGTTTCCCCATGGACTACAGCAGGGGTATGCCTCCGGGCAGTCAGCGTCGGATGAACATGAACCAGGAGGAGGGGGTGATGATGGTGTTGCCGATACCAGCAAACACAGTGCAAAGAGCGCTAGAGCACGAAGAAGCATGGTTCCAATGACTTATGCAAGTCACAGCAATGCAAGCACACATTTATAGGACTGTAAAGCAGCGACTGATTGTTTTCAGCAGGCACCGCTGCGTGTTTTCAGACCTGTGGTCCGCCCATGTGATCTCGGCCGCCTCAGTTGGCCTTGTCAGAGATACTTGTCACCATTTTAGATGGACCACAGAGGCAAAGCCTAATTTACAAAGTGAACACCACCACCAGGAACACTATTCCTTCTTCAGGTTCCACATGCATGGCTCTGGTCCAAGATTTCGAATCTGTACGTAATAAGTCGTCCAAAGATACTTGATGTTCAATTGTAAACGAATAAGGTAAGGTAAGCTGTAGTTTTACAGCGAGCAGCCCACGTCCACAGCAATGACAGCTCTCATGTATCAGATGCGGCGGCCATGTACATTCGAGTTGGAAGTTCGTGCATCTAAAACAAGAGCAAAGCTGCGGTTTTCCTTTAGGTGGTTTGTTCGTTCCGACGAAGCTGGTTCTACTAGCATTTGTGGGGATCTCTAAACAAAAGATAAGTGAAATCATTTTCCAACTTATCCTCTCGATCGATCGCGAGCTCTCAATCAAAACAGTGTGGTGCTTTTGTCTCGCGCTCGCAGCAACGGCATCGTTGGCCATTTCCACCAGCCAATCATCAGGCGCTGCAAAACGTTGCCAGCTGAATCCATCGAGCTTTCCGTTGCGAGTTTGTTGTTTTGGTTCCATGTCGACTCACGGGCTCCATGTGTCCCGCCTCGGACGGGCCGGATGATCTGAGCTCTCCGGACGCAAGCGGCTTTTAGCGTGTCTGGATTGAATTGGAAACAAACTTAAGTTTCTCGAGCAAAGCCATCGCAAAACTCTACCTGGAGCTTTCCTCCCACCGCATCGGCACTCGGGGACTTCGCTCTCGCCGGGCAGCTGCCAAAGCGAGGCCAGAAAAGACATAAAGAAGAGTATAGTAGCTTGGCTTTTCTTTACCTTGTCCAATATTTCTGCGATCTCGTCCACCGTGTTTTGCATGACAGTCAAGGTTCTTCTCATCTCCTCGTTTAAAACGGCCGTGAGATCGGCATCCGGCACTTCAGAGAAGTCGCCAAGAAGGCCCTCCTCTTCAAACAGCTGCCTGACGATCTCCACTACGTCGTCCAGATTTGGTGTCTTCTTGGAGAGAGCCACCTTCAGCTACGATGGAAAAACACGATTATCACTGCCAGTAAGTAAAAACAACACAAGAAAGAAAGATTACCTTTTCAAGCATGCCACTGCTGGCCTCTCGCCCAACCGCGAGTTTGGCTGCTGGATTGTCTGCAAAAAAAGCCGTCTAGATGATCGTTAAGCACGTAGATTACTCTATACCTTCTCCAGTTAACGAGTGAATTCGAGCGTTGAGCATTATGACTTGAGACCTCAAGCGTTCGCATTCTCCCTCCGCTTTGAGGAGTGCCTGCTCTAGATCATATCTTGATCTCTCAGTGTTGACCCTGGGCTTGTTTTTTATTTCCTTGGCCCTGTCTTCGCATTCATAAAGGCCGGCCCCTTGCTTAAAAATTGGAAAGCTTTTTACCTTAGTCCAAAGCGTAGCGTAGAGAGCGTTTCGGCTGCATTATATGAGCCCGAAGAGCAGCAACAAAGCAGAGTCGTCCGTGAGTTTCCACCCTGCGCGGCATAAGATCAAAAGAACATATGAATTTACTGTTAACGCTCGAGAGTTACCAAGGACTCTTGCAAAATCCTCGTCAGCTTTGAGTCACGGTAAGGTACATGGCACGCTTTCTCTGCGAAAAACGATTGCATTCTTTTGCCAGCCACGAAGATTGCTTACCACAGGTCAAAGCATTTATCACATTTCCAAGAGCTGACAACGATTTGTTGATTGTCTTAGCCTCCGTTAGGAGCTTTCCTTCGGCGCATGTTTTCTCCACTTTCTCAGATCCAGCAAGGTCTACCAGGAACAACTTTCCGGTTTTCACGCTGCAAAGAGACGATGATAAATAAGATCTTATCCCTCACGAAAAGAAGGGAGCGCTTCTTCGACCTCCTGTCCTCCGAGTTCGTTTGCTGAATGGTTATCAAGAACACACAGTGGCTTCTGCTGCTATTGGCGTTCATATCTGAAATGTTAGGAGACACACGCAGCAAGTCTTGATAAGCCTCAGGATACTCGTCGCTCCCACAGCTCTGTTCAAGATTCCTGCCTGTGCATAAGCTTAAGTTAGCATGGCCAAAGCAGCAATCAATCAATTGTAGGTACCTTCACAGTCTTGAGCATCTCTTCCTCCGACTGAAGATAAACCTGTCACTAAGCAATCAGCACTCGAGTTAATCTAAGACGGACGGTCTCCTCACCTCTGAAGCACCAGCGACAAATATTCCGCGTGTTTTATCTTCCTTTACTTGAAGGTTGTCCTTGGTCGAGTCCAAAAGATCTCTGCATGACAATGACGAAGTATTCAAGTCTCGAGCAACTTCAAAACCATCGCAGCCTCGACCTTATTCTCTCCATGTAGATCTCCACCTATTCACAAGCGAATATAAGAAATACAAAACGATATACGAACACCTTACCATGGACAGCTTGATGATAAACTCGTACACCGGGTCAGCAGTCTCTATGTACTGGAAAATCCATCGTGCCACCCTCGGTAGAATTCCCTCTTGGCCAGGATCATCAGTGCCCTGCGACATCTCTCCACGAAATGACCCGCAAGAACAGCCGAAATATTACCTCCATACTGAAAGTCTTTCCAGCACCAGTCTAGAAACGAAAAACCAGAGAAGAAAACAGTGACATGGGTACCTCTCATCGCATGAATGATTCGTGAGAGTACCTGTCCATACGCAAGAACCGTCCCGTTGATGGCATTCATAGCATCTGCGTTTAAAAATCCAATGAGCAACGAATTAAATCTCACAAAGCGAAGGCAATTGATCAAACCTTACCCTGCACAATTGGAAGGGCGACGAAGTCAAAGACATCGCCTTGAGGCGATCCCTCGTTGAAGACCCTGTCAAAAGAAAACCCGATCGCTCCCTCTTTGTCGTCCTGAATGAAATCGCGATTGTAAATCGTCCAATGCAGCTGGCGCTCACCTTGAAATCGAAGGATCGATCGTCCAGGATGTGAATGCGGCTAGATTTCGCTCCAGTGCTCGCGATCTCCCGGGAATTGCACGGCCGGAAGCGAACGCAAACGGAAACACTTGACATTGAGACAAAACCCTATTTCTACTGAAGTACAATTAGTTTAAAGTATTGCCCTAAAATCTATATCTCTTTTTGTTTGGCTTCCGAGCTCAGTTGGTGGTGCAGCTGGATAATGTCTATCACAGAAGTGGAAGGAACTTATTGATCATGCAAAATAACTCTAGCCCAGTTTAGCTCTGAATTTTCTTCTAATATTTTTTTAATGGGCTGTAGCTCACCCATTAACTTGATCCAGCCGTTGGCAGCCGTCGGCAGCTGTCGGATCAAGTTAATAGAAGAGTACCATGAAAATTGAACAAAGAGAAAAGGAAAAACAAAAGAGCCCTAACTTAAGCAAGTGGTTTGAATTTAAACTAATTTGAAAATTATCAAAATCCCACTATACAGCATCAAAACCATATAACTAAACCTCATGGTCTAGATTGTATAGAAATGATAGACCAATGGACAGCCAAGATTTAGGATGGCAATTCTTGCATTCTTGCTTGATACTCACCTGGAAGGAGGAGTTTCCAGGTAGGGCAAGCACATTCCTGGGCGAGCCAGGCATTAGCCTGGCGAGTGTGTTCGGGAGGGAATGAGTGAGCCCATGCCTGGTTAATAGGTTGTGGTGAGACTGTTAACAGACACATGGGATAACATTATTCAAGGATGAGAGGGTTCTCTAGAACCTGGCAGGTGGCAACCAGGTTCTTGCAAAGAACCTCCTCCTTCTCCTCTTTAGACTTTGAAGTAGTAGTTGTAATTGTTTGATGTTATGCAATTATAACACCAATTAAATTTAGTTAATGGTGGGGTTCACAATACATGGTGTAATTTTTTTTCTTTTGCTTGTCTGGCCAAATTTCTTTAATGGGAATCTTAAAGATGATGTGTATTATTGGTTTGATCACTTTATAATGAGCAACCAACCTCACATCATCCCCTTCTTTTAGAAGGATAAAAGGTAATTAGGATTATTTAGTGGGTTAAAATCTAAAGAAACATTAGGAGGAGGCATTGGTGGATTTATAGACAATGTGATTTTTTTAAAATCCTTTTGTACAAAGCATTTAATTGCTATATATACATAATTTTTTAAGGATTGGTTTATTAATGTTGTAGTGAATCTCATAATTTGCAATCCAACTTACCACAATATTTGATATGGTCCTTTCTACTGAGCAAGAAGCCCATTAGACAAACCACATACTATAACATTGAGAAAATGAATTAACACTATATAATTTATTTTATACTTTATAGGTGGACAATGATGAAAGTTGTAGCCCCATTGTTATCCCACTTATACATAGCCTAAGTGTTCAACAAACTTTATTTAAATAAGTGGGCAAATGCTCATCAAATATTGATCCCAAGACCTAACATTAGTACCTTATAGTAATCCTAGAGGTAAATTAAACACCATTTTGGCAATATCAAATCATAATTATATAAGAGTTTATATTGTGAAACATCAGTGGAACTCTATACGCTTATGATATTTATATACACAAGAAATAACAAATAACCATCCTAATTCGAATGTTAGAAGTTTGAGATTAGTCAAATGCCTTGTTGACTGGCCGAGATTTCGAGGATATCAGTTGGTTCATATATTTCACAAATTTTTTTTTAAGGTTTGAATAAGCCATTCCACTAAACTATTTATTTATGGATGATAAACACTTATAAAAATGTGATGTATCCCCAATCAAAACATCAAGATATGAAATACCCCAGACATAAATGCAAGACTATTATCTAAAAGAATCCATTATAAACAAGAATGTTGAAACACCACTCAATTGAAGAGGAAATACTTAACAATTATTGTACATGCATTGGTAAGAGCATGAAATTCCACTTAATAAGTCAAATAGTCAGAAGGAATAATGATGTAGTTATTGCCAGTTGACTATGGCAATGATTCCATTAGATCAAATGCCACCAACTCAAATAGATAGGAAACTGCAATTAACTCTAATTATCATTTTGTAATATGAGAGGGAGTATTATAGGTTTCACACCAAATGCAACTATATATATACTAGATAATATTATATTATATATTCTGCTAATAAAAAGACTTGTGTAGCTTCTTAGTCATACAACAATATTCCATATGCCCACTATGTAAAAGTTATAATAAGCATGGGAAATATGTGGAATAAAGATCAAAGGCACTATTAGCTATAAATGGTCATTAAGATTAGTCCTCATAAAGTTATAAATGTTGTCACAAAATTATGAGAATATAAATTTTTAAATAATAAATCATTAGCAAATAATGTAGAATTCTCAAATCCAGCACAAAGTCTTTGTATCTATGATTTAACCTTTTAAGCCTTATAAACCTCATTAAAAGAAAGTAATTCTAGTTTACGAAACACTAAATATTAAATATAGTAACCGTTGATGGTGATGAAGGAAGAAAAAGAGTTTTAGATTTTATTTCTCCAATACAAGATTTTAAATGATCTCTTTTATAATCCATATTTGGTACTCCTTTAGGTGTTTTCTAGGATCCATTGGTGCTTGTTGCATGATTATCAGGTATTATCCATATGTGGAAATCCCTGTCATGAAGTGGTGACGTGATCAAAAGTGATCTTTTGGTGAAGGGGGTTGACAAAGATTTTAGCCTTTCTCTATGCTATTATAAAGTTATTGTATCCAAATTTGGTGGTTAGTAGTGCACCATCTCTATATGCTTTGTGCTTTAAGAGAAAGAGAGAGGAGAGGGATTTCTATTAACTCTTAATTTTATATTTTTCAAAGAAGTAAGACTTAAAGAAAGATTATTGCAAAACTAGAAAAGAAAACTTAAATTAAAATCACTCCATACTTCATGCTCTAATGCTTTGTGTCATGAAGGGCTCCTCCTTATATAGTCCTTAAAACATAGTTTATGTTTTGTTGTTGATATCATAAAATATTGATGTAGGAAAGGTTAGATTTATATGACTAATATATATTACATAAGAAAATATTTTTAAATGGTGGCAGAAATCTTTGCAAGGTTGGAAGGTATGCTTAAATATAAGAGTTATATAAGAAATCATTTTACAAAGATGGTGGAACATAAGGTACGTAGAGTGGATAGGTAATAGAATGAATATAAGATATAGAAAAAAAAAGAGTGTTTTTGAGGTTATAAAGAAAAGGTGGTGGTAGAATAGTAAAGTGGTTGGTAGGGGTATAGGGGGGATGATTTTATCTATATACACCTTGTACATATATATATTTTTGACTTTGAATATGGCATTTTTGGCTGAAGATTCCCATCACAATGATATAGGATTCTCATTTAGCAAATCCATTAATCATAGAATAATAAGCTTGTTAGGAATATGAGAAGAGAGCAAAGACGGGAGAGAAGCTTAAGAAAGGGTGTTAGCATCAATTGTAGAACTCCCCTAGCAATAAATAACATCGAAGCTTCAAAATTCATCAAATAACATGATTGACTAAGTTTTTTTGCTACAATAATGAAGTGACTGCAATAATAACATTTAAGAACTATGCAAGTAAACATAAAGCTTTTTGAAACCCTAAATAGCTCTTAGACACTCTTTTTCTATTGCGGAGTAGTTCACTTATGCTGGTTGCAATGTATGATTGATATATAAGATGAGATGATGCTGACTTCACACACTCGTACTCTCTTACATCAACATACTTTTGAAACTAATATTGAAAGTATTCATATACAAGATGAAAGGTCAAGTGTAGTAAAACTAAAGTATCCATCAACACCTCTTTGAGATTCATAAATACTCACTCACAATCCTTGGACAAGGAGAAAGATAATATTAATAACTTCAACAATACTTGCAATATTGAAATGCTACTAGAAATATAATCAATAAAATGACTAAGATATTACATTTTGCTAAGGAAGCATTATATATTGGTCACATACTTTAAAGTAAAAAACTTCAAAATAGCTATAAGAATTTGCAAACTTTGGTAAAAAATGTGGCATCCAAGCTAAGTTATGTCCTTGGACCTAAATATACACTTTAAAACCAACTTTTTGTAACTAATTCAATACTTTGCAAATATCATGGATGTGCTCCTCCCATATCCTTTTCAAGTGGATCAAGACATTATTGATGAAATTAGTAATCACCTTCAGCATATTACAAAGAACCTCATCTATCATCTGCTAAAAAGTCACGAAAGCTCTGAACAAATTAAACAACATTACTAATAAAAACTAAATGAGGTATAGAAAATAATTTTGGAAATATCTTCTTTAGCCATTGGTACTTGCCAATACTTAAAAATAATATTCAACTTAGTGAACTAACAACTTCTCCCTAAATTATCTACAAGATTAATAATGTAAAGAAGAGAGTACACATCTGGGATTATCACATTATTTAATGGTAGTCAACATAAAATTAAATATTCTCATCAAAATTTCTCATAATATAAGGTTTATATACCCAAAGATTCCAAAACTTTTAAATAACACCTTTCTCAAACATTTACTTGTAAGGTCTTAATATGTTTTAGTGATCAACACTGAAAAAAAACCTTGATCAGACTAGCATCCCTAGTTAGAATAAGATGACATATTGCAATCTTCACCCCACAAAATCAAAGAGATCAACATACTTTTACTTAAGCCAGTCATGCCATAATATAAAGACTGTTTGAGAGGGTGAATAAGAAGGAAACATGGTAAGAAATAATCAAGAGATTAAAGTAATGGAAGTAGAAGTAGAAGCTAAAAGATAATATAGAATAAAAATGAGAGGAATAAAAGAAATATAAGGAACTACAAAGCAAGAGAGAGAAGCCTCAAAATCACATTTGGCATAATTTTGTTGCAACTAATTCATACCAAGGATGAAATCAAAAACTTTACTCAAAACCATTTGTAATGATTGGAACTCAAACTTAAAATCACCCATATGCACAACTAAACCCACCTAATCCCACATACACATATGTGTATGGCCATTGCCATAGATAATGAAGATTAACTTTGTTATACAATTAAATATAGATAGTAACATCTGGCAACA